CACCACCATCCATCTCAGAAGAATTCCCTCATCAAGACTCTATACCATAGAGCCCAATGCATTTCCGACCAGGAACACATTGGCAGTGAACTCAAACACGTACGCCAAGTTCTTAAGGCTAATGGTTACTCCGACTACACAATCCGCAAGGCCATCACTCCAACCATCAAGAAGGATCCTCTTGAGGAGCCTTTCAAGACCATCACCTTACCCTACATTGCTGGGGTCACAAAAAGATCTCCAAAATCCTGATTAAACACAAGATCCAGGTCCGATTCAACACAGTACATAAAATCCGTGATCTGGTCCCATCTGTAAAAGATGTGGTTCCAGACATACAGTACCCTGGCGTCTACAAACTAAGTTTCCTCTGTGGTAGCAGTTACATTGGAGAAACCAAACGACATGTCTCGGACCGCATCCGTGAACATAAAGCAGACCTGAAACACGGTAGGACAAACACCTCAGCCGTGGCAGATCACTGTTACAATTCAGTGGGCTCACATGACATTGACTTCTCCAAGACAGAGGTTCTCTGCAAGCCATCTGGCTATCATGAGAGATTCGTTCATGAGGCGATCCACATATACAAACAAAGAGACAATTTCAACCGAGAAGATGGATTCTGGCTTAGCAATCATTGGAAGGACGTAATAAACCATTTCGGATCTTAACTGATAGTGTTCACGTTTTACGGTGACTTTTAGACCGCGTTCCACTCACTGGCATGGTGCAGTGTGCAGAGTAATGTATGGTGTCGTAATTATATAGTAAATATATAGCAGTGTGATACACATTAGGGTGGGTAGAATAATACATAGTGTTATATTAAAATGGATAAGGCAGCAACTGCAGCAGCAGCAGCAACTGCAGCTGCAGCAACTGCAGAGCAGCAGCAACTGCAGCTGCAGCAACTGCAGAGCAGCAGCAACTGCAGCTGCAGCAACTGCAGTGCAGCAGCAACTGCAGCTGCAGCAACTGCAGCTGCAGCAACTGCAGTGCAGCAGCAACTGCAGCAGCAGCAGCAACTGCTGCAGCAGCAGCAGAAACTGCTGCAGCAGCAGCAGAAACTGCTGCAGCAGCAGCAGAAACTGCTGCAGCAGCAGCAACTGCTGCAGCAGCAGCAGAAACTGCTGCAGCAGCAGCAGAAACTGCTGCTGCAGCAGCAGCAGAAACTGCTGCAGCAGCAGCAGAAACTGCTGCAGCAGCAGCAGAAACTGCTGCAGCAGCAGCAGAAACTGCTGCAGCAGCAGCAACTGCAGCTCCCTTTGATGCTGTTAATCCTGCATAATGCACATGCATATGTAGTACTAATCACATTCCTGCATTTCCCATAAATATGCTAAATTCCTCTTGATATGCAAATTCCTTTGTCAAGGCGCCCAGCTTATATATATGCTCCAAGCTCGTGTGCTGTTTCATTCAGACTCTGTCGCCTCGACGGACCTGGTTTTTCACCTGAGGACGGCTGCTTGCGTTGTGGCCGAAACGTCGTGAGAATAATTTTATTATGTTTTATTTTTATTATTTTATTACTTCCCTTCTACGTGACTTCACCGAAAGAACCAAGAAGATATACTAGATTTGTGTTTCTATTTAAGTTATACCTGATGATGATTGCTTGTGTTGCAATCGAAACGTCGTATGCTAGTATTTAATTTATTATTTTCTCTTTATACGTGACTTTACCGAAAGAACCAAAGAGTCTATTGTTATTCTCGTCCATCCAGAATCGTCCCTTACATGCCTGTGGGTCTCTGTGCGTATATTCGAGTCTCTGTGCCTGCGGGTCTCTGTGCGTGTCTGTGGGTCTCTGTGCGTGTCTGTGGGTCTTTGCGTAACTGTGGGTCTTGGTGTGTGTCCGTGGGGATCTCTGTAGCGTATGTGTCTCTCTGAGCGTGTCTGTGGGTCTCTGTGCGTGTCTGGTCTGTGCCTTTCTATGGGTCTCTATCAGTGCGTGTCTGTGGGATGCTGCATGTCTGTGGGTCTCTATGCGTGGTTGTGGGTCTTTGCGTGTCTGCTGCTGTCTGAGCGTGTCTGTGGGTCTCTGTGCGTGTATGTGGGTCTGTGCGTTTCGATGGGTCACCATTTGTGGTTGTGGGTATCTGTGCGTGTCTGCGGCTCTCTGGGCGTGTCTGTGGGTCTCTGTGCGTGTCTGTGGGTCTGTATACGTGTCTACAGCTCTCTGAGCGTGTCTGTGGGTCTTTATTGGTCTCTGAGCATGCCTGTGAGTCTATGCGTGTCTGTGAGTCTCTGTGCGTGTCTGTGCATTTCTGTCGTTCTCTGTGCGTGTATGTGGGTCTCTGAGTGTGTCTGTGGGTCGCTGTGTGACTGTGGGTCTTGGTGTGTGTCCGTGGGTCTCTGTAGCGTCTGTGGCTCTCTGAGCGTGTCTGTGGGTCTCTGTGCGTGTCGTTGAGTGTGTGCCTTTATATGGCTCTCTGTGCTTGCCTGTGGGTCTCTGTGCGTGTCTGTGGGTCTCTGTGCATTTATGTAGCTCTCTGTGCGTGTCTGTGGGTCTCTGTGCGTGTCTGTGGGTCTCTGTGAGTGTCCGTAGCTCTCTGTGTCTGTTTTTGGGTCTCTGTGCATGTCTGTGGGGCTCTGTGCGTGTCTACCGCTGTCTGAGCGTGTCTGTGGGTCTTTGTGCTTGCTGTGAGTCTATGAGCGTGCCTGTGGATTTGTACGTGTCTGTGGGTCTCTGTGCGTATATTCGAGTCTCTGTGCCTGCGGGTCTCTGTGCGTGTCTGTGGGTCTCTGTGCGTGTCTGTGGGTCTTTGCGTAACTGTGGGTCTTGGTGTGTGTCCGTGGGGGTCTCTGTAGCGTATGTGGCTCTCTGAGCGTGTCTGTGGGTCTCTGTGCGTGTCGGTTGGTCTGTGCCTTTCTATGGGTCTCTATCAGTGCGTGTCTGTGGGATGCTGTATGTCTGTGGGTCTCTATGCGTGGTTGTGGGTCTTTGCGTGTCTGCTGCTGTCTGAGCGTGTCTGTGGGTCTCTGTGCGTGTATGTGGGTCTGTGCGTTTCGATGGGTCTCGATGCGTGGTTGTGGGTCTCTGTGCGTGTCTGTGGGTCTCTGTGCGTGTCTACCACTGTCTGAGCGTGTCTATGGGTCTTTGTTCGTGTTTGTTGGTCTTTGTACGTGTCTACAGCTCTCTGAGCGTGTCTGTGGGTCTTTATGGGTCTCTCAGCATGCCTGTGAGTCTGTGCGTGTCTGTGAGTCTCTGTGCGTGTCTGTGCGTGTCTGTGGGTCTCTGAGTGTGTCTGTGGGTCGCCGTGTGACTGTGGGTCTTGGTGTGTGCCCGTGGGTCTCTGTAGCGTCTGTGGCTCTCTGAGCGTGCCTGTGAGTCTTTGTGTTTGTTGGTAGGTCTGTTTTAGTGTCTGTGGGTCTCTGTGCATGTTTGCGGGTTCATGTGCGTGTCTGTTAGTTTAGGGGTATATCTGTGAGTCAAATACATTTGAAAAAAGTACGCAGCCGGGTTCATATTTTCACTCCTACCATGACATTGGTGCCAATTTTCACCACTGTCTGATACACAAATTATGATTTAAACACTTTACTTTTTAGCGGTTAAGCTTGAGCATCGTGGACTCTAGACAGGACAGTCTGTAAGCGCCCTAAATTTCTCGTCAAAGGTTAAAAGTACGGGTGAATACAATAACAGTATCGGAGTAAATGAGTTTTGCCATTGAAGGCCAGGCAAAACCAGCTCCATTCGCTCTTGGAATATGGTGGAAACCGTTTATATACCCATTGAATGTATATGTATTCTTTATTTCACTTCCGGCGCCCAATGAGCTGCCATGACATTCCGGCGGCATCCATGACAGAAGCTCGCCATGGCCACCCACACGTTCCGAGAGCCGTCGAGCCCAACTCGCACCCCGCGTGAACCCGCACACTCCACACTGGCACTCACAAGCGGATACGGGGTAGTGTACATTATGTACAGTATGAACACACTGTATTTGTTTGGTCACATATTTTTTTTGCCTGAGCGCTACCAGCTGTGAATGGGTCATCACAATCCAGATTGTGGCTGCATTCAAGGACGCCCCTGCCATGCATAGTCCCATGGGATGTTGGCTACCAACAACAAGGCAACTCCTATGACTAATTGGGAATGGGACGCAAGCGTAGGATTGATCACCCTGTCGCTGGCCGCCTTTGGGGAGGGTGTATAGTATGAAAGGCCGAAACACCCTAGGAACCAAAGGTTCACTACTGACGATGCGCTCCCCAAATTTCACCAGGCTCACTGTTCATGAACTCTTGGAAGTGCTTGCACAAAGGATAGTAACATCTCATCCTGTGTTCTTTGGAATACTGTCATGATGTTGTAAATGATTATTGTGATGTTTTCTGATTTATTTTATCATTCCTGTATTGTCCGTATGTGTACTCAGCCTTGTGTTTATCATGTGTCTACGAGTTCCTTTATCATCGTATTCAAAGCGATTAAACTGACTTAAAGAGCGTAATATAAATATTGACGCCACCTAACCAGAGTTTAGAAAAAAAGATATCCAAGTTGTATCATGGGCGTAGTAGCCAACAATATGTTAAAAGACAAATGCATTTGACATACCATTATGCCTGTCCTTTGCAGACTATACAAACGAGTATTAAAAGGCATACAGTTATACATGCTCTCAAAAATAAAGTATTCAATATGAATGTATATAAATTATCAAAACAATTATAATTGATGGACAACAGGTAACAGTAGAAACATATATGAAATTACAGATACGTAAAACTTTAATCTGACGAGATTGCGACGTTTCATATATGAAGTGAAAGAGGAATGCGACTCAGAGCGGGACACGGGCACCACGTTCACTGCAGAGACTCGCATCGCGCGCACGGCGGGGCCGTCGCGAAGCCACCACTAGTAGTAGTACTACTATTACTACTACTACTTGTAGTAGTAGTACTGTAGTAGTAATAGTCGTGATGATGCACATCCATTACGCACTCCTCAGTCAAGGCCTGGCTCGACCACAGCGTCACCATGGCCTCCACACGCCGAGTCCCAGCGCCGCCTCCGCCTTCAGGAGCTTCACGGCTCCTCCTCTCCCGTGCCGCTGCTGCTGCTCGCATCCGTGCGGCCCGCGCGCCACCTGCGCGGTAGCGAGGTCCAGGGAGGCCGGGGACGAGGCCGGCGTTGGGACGCGTGTCCGCGCTGCGCCAGGAGGCTTCGTAGCTGCCTCCAGCTGCTGCTGGAGAGCGGCTACGCGTGGCTGCTGTGGCTGCACTGTGAGCGCCTCCAGGCCGCGATCCTGCACAGCCAGGATGGACGAGCGAATGAAAGCGACAGCTCCTTCCAGCACATCCGCCTTCTCCAGCCTGCGGTCCTGTTGCTGCTGTGAGACGCACGTCTGCGCCTGCTGCTCTGCTGCTGCTTCTGCGCCACTGTCGCAGAGACGCAGCATGAGCTGCTTGAGCTCGTGGAAGCTCTCGTTCATGCGGTGCCGTCTGTCCTTCTCCACCAGGGCCTTTCGCAGCTGCACAGAACACCAGAGTTCGTGATTGTCACAACTATTGGCGCTTCACGATGCTCACTTACCACTGCACGATGCGCACGTTTAAGTGAGAGTTCGACGCATGTGTGAGTGAGCTTGTAATGCAATTGTGGATTGTGTAACAATACTCTTGATCGAGTGGATGCACGGACTCAGACTGCCTCACCTTGCGCTTCTCCCCTCGCCCTCTCTGCGGCCCCACGTGGCGTGGGAAGGCTGCGGGACTCGCGCCGCCGTCTGGAGGCGGCGGCAGCGACGCGAGTCGCATAGCGGCCGCCCGCAGTGGTTCCACACCGACCGGACTCGGGCCCAGCAGATCCCACGGGAAGACGGCGGCGGCATTCATTGGACACGAGCTCGAGCGTCTTCCTCTTCGTCTCCACGCTCGGTTCTCCCCAGCGGAGTCGCGTTTCGGGAAAGCGTTGGAGCGCGCGTCGAGCGAGCGAGCGGAGAGCTTCTGCTCGCAAGCAGCGCCCTCCTCCCTCCTGCTGGTCCTGCGATGGATGCCGCGGTTGAGTCCGGCACTCCGAGCGGTGTCAGTCGCCTAGTGGTCGCGTGGTGCCGAGACGCAGGGATCGCACGGCGCGGAGCGACCAGCGCACTTGAGTGTCGACTCGGTGACGGAGCGGCGGAGAATGTGGCGCTGAGAGAGGCGCGGCGGACGCCTAAATGAGCGTCTCGAGGATGGGCGGGGGGGTCACAGCGAGTGGGGGACGGGGAGGGGTGCTGAGCACCGTCAGAGGGGACCTCGGAGCTGTAAAGTTCCCTGATGTGATGAGGGGGGGGGGGGGGGGGAGCACGGGCGCGATTTGTCGGTTGTTCGTGAATACGTGGATGAGGCGTACGGGTGTGGGGGTGATGGAGCGGAGGTGGAGGGTGCCGGGGGCTGTTCATTGCCCGCGACTGCTCAACGTGACGAGGGCGTCAGAAGTGTGGCCATCGCCACGTCCGCTGCTCGCTTTCATGTCACGCGCGGCGTCAGCACACGCCGCCACAGCGAGGCGCATTGAAGTCGTTCTGCGTCTTGGTCTTTGTTGAGTGTCACGTGGGAGATCGGAGGAGTCTGTACGTCTCTTAGGCGTGATTCAATGCAGGTCAACCTAGTTCGATTCCCGGTCACGTTCTGCAGTGTTAAGTAACATGTGAACCTGTTCTGGGCCACTCGTACATAGCTCTTGTGGGGAAGTATTGTCAAAGTCCAAACTAAAACTGAACTATTATTTTTAAACCAGCTAAGGCCCATTGAGCTTTTTAGTTATTTTTCAAAAGCGACCTGAAAACAAATGATAACTCTAAAAAGTGACTCATCGTGTGGAAATTTATAGCAGCCAAATACTCGAAACGCATGTTTCTAAATGTGGAGGTAAAAACTGGAGTCATCCAGTGACAAATCCACGTGACCACAGAGAGAGACATGCAAACTCCATATGTACAGACGTCAGTGGCAGGATTGAACCCACGAACCTCCTGCATACCAGGGAAGGTAGTTACCATATCGTGAACGTGCGCTATGCTCAGCACCACGTCCCGCCGGCTTTATCTCGCCAGTGATTCTACTTTATATAGCACACCAGATACTCCTTTACGGCTGAGTAAACCTCGGGTAGGCCAAAGACAGTTCGGATTTGAGTATCAACAGACAGCCGTATCGCAGTGGGCTAACCACTCCACTACCATGTCACAGATCCACAACCACTCCCACACTCACGCAAAGACAAAGATCCCCCATATAGCCTCACAGACTGTTGGGGGTATGCCCAGAACCGGTTCCGATATTCTTTACTGATATTGGTTATGAGCGGGAATCGAACTCGTGTCACTGTGACGTGGCCAGGCTATCGCAGGACAGCAAGAAGATCGTGACCTGTCCGTGCGAACCTTTAGCGATATTCCGTCATTTGCCTTTTCGCACTCAAAGCCACTTCTTGGAACAGGATTCGATTTACAAAGATATTCTTAATGCAGATGCAGCGATAATCTCAGAGATAAATGCGTCATCACATCGTTATCATTATCATGATATAAACTAAACATTACAAATGTTCCCGTTACTGTAATAAATGAAAGATCTTTATCATCTGTATATACTCGTAAATGTATCACGTAAGATCATTATATTCGTCGTTGTGGAGAATATAAATACTAACACGAGCAATGTCTCCTCCGCGTGCACCCGCTATGTCCATTCTCCTCCGTGACGTCAAGAGAGGCTCCTTCCTTGTCTGAAGCATCGACTGTTCACCGGCATTGCTTCAAGTGAGCTTGACTCCCCTGATGAGACACTGCGCGTCCAAACCGATCCAGAGTTTGCTTGGAATGAATCAGTGCTGCTGAATTAATGCGATCCCAGAAGGTCGTAGGGCTGATGGGTTATGTAACAAATACTTTCAACTTTGATGTGGAGGGAGGGACTTGTGAAGGAAGCATTGTGTATTTGTCTTATCAAGTGAAATATATCGGTTATAAGATGCAGTTCAACTCCAGCAGTGTATAAGTAATGTATCATTTGCGGCGGCCTACGTTCACTTGCCATTGTTTGGTGAGATTTCCTCGACTGGACATTTCTGTTGTCTACAGTACTTGGATGCTTTAACGTGGTAATCCCTCCTGTAATAGTTCTTTGCTAACATGTACAAATAGTTGTGGAGACGCCAGTGTATTTGGCGGGTCAACATTGGCACGGAGGCTGAGTGGCGAGGCTGTCAGTGCGAGGCGCAGATCGATGTCGTGTTTGGTGCTCACGGAGTCGGACTCCGAGGTGGGAGCCGGGCTGTTTGACACCACGAGTATCGTTGGCTACGTACGGTGTGAAAGAAGTACAACGTAGGTACATAGTACAACGTTCGTGGGAGTATTCGGGCTGCGTGGAGCCACTTGGTGCATGATCCACGCTGTGGCTCTGAGCGCGCCAAGCTGCGCGCGTTTCCACACGGGCACCGCACGCGGCACCGCTGGTTGAAAGTTCACGTCAACAGCTCCATTAAGTTGGGCTGCAGGTTGCCGCAGTGCTGACACTCGTGCTTCACAGCAAACGGTACATGGGTTCGACTCCCGACTTGGGCATCTTTCTGCATCGAGTTTGGTCTGCATGGGTTTCCTCCGAGTTCTTCAGTTTCCTCTCATAGCTAACACCGTAAAATGTGACTGGATTATGCAAACATCCCAAGGTTTAAAAGCTGTCTGCAACATTGTCTCAAACTGCGAAAACTTCGCATGACCTTTCTGAAAAAACTCGGCGAAGCGTTCTTGGGTTTAAGAAAAACGCGTAACGATGAAGTAAAACTCCACGTACGGGATTCGTGTCGCTCTCCCTGGCAGCTAGTTTCCAGCCCGACAATGGAAGTTGACTAATACAAGCACAGTGCAGCACTTTCACCGTCACACCTCGCATCACGATCCATACGGCGCTCTGTGTGGTTTATATGCGAGCACGTGGAGACAAATTTCACGGTCACTCCGCGGATCAAACAGGAACATCTCACCATCCGAAGTCATTCGTATATTGATCATCGCACCACGGCATCGTGTATTCCTATTGCGATAACTCTAACCCAGGGATCGGCAACCAAAATAACAAGAAGAGCCATTTCTTTCCAATTCGGTACAAAATTCAGTATTTCAAGAGCCGCAATGCATCTGAGTACATACTGTACATATCGTCAAGAAGCAGCCTGTAAAGAGCCGCATGCGGCTCCGGAGCCGTAGGTTGCCGACCCCTGCTCTAACCCGACCATAAAACTCAAACTTAGTGGCTTTTGGTATAATTGGGATTTATACGCTAATGGATATGGCTATACTTGAGAATTCTACATAAAAATACAGAATGGTCAAGATGTCACCAATTGATTTAAAAGCCTCGAGTCATAAAAAATAAACTTCTTTGCCAGCAATTATTCCGCTACGTTGATCTGAAAAAAAGTGATTCCATGCTCACATGAGCGTTAACGTGCTCAACATCATCTCCTGTTTACAACCGTGAGCTGGTGGTGGAATGTATACATTACATTAGCGCGAACGAATCGATACATAGTACAGCCACTGTTGTCCTATCGACCCCCAACATCCAACCGGGATGTCAACTGCCAACATTCGAATTGCGAGTCGCTCGCTCTACCGCTGAGTCGCCGCCTGACCGGGACGATCTGAATTCTGAGTAGGATAACGACGCAAACACGGTAATCACAATCATAGATTTGTAATTGAAAGGGGCAACCCAAATGCACGGCTATGACCATAAGCCAGTTCTGTAAATAAACTAATTACATAGTCAAATTATAGCCAATTAATCTGGAACATTGACGGGAGTGTCTGCCAAACCATTGGACCTTTTTGAACAGAATTAACTTTCTTGAAGTCACGTTTTTGCTGCCATTTAATTCCGAAAACGCTCACCTCGTACAAGACTAGAGTTATACGGTTGCGGATCATTGCAGTGGCAATGGAGAGGTTTTCACGTTGCAATTGAACCTGTCTGCGGCTCTTTGTACGTGTCTGTGGGTCTCTGTGCGTGTCTGTGGGTCTATGTGCGTGTCTGTGTCTCTGTGCGTGTCCGTAGCTCTCTGTGCGTGTTTGTGGGTCTCTATGCGTGCCTGTGTGTCTATGAGCGTGCCTGTGGGTCCCGGTGTGTCTTCCGCTGTCTGAGCGTCTCTGTGGGTCTCTGTCCGTGACTGTGGGTCTTGGTGTGTGTCCGTGGGTCTCTGTAGCATCTGTGGCTCTCTGTGCGTGTCTGTGGGTCTCTGTGCGTGTCGGTGGGTCTCTGTGCGTGTCTATGGGTCTCTGTGCGTGTCTGTGGGTCTTTGTGCGTGTCGGTGGGTCTGTGCCTTTCTATGGGTCTCTGTCAGTGGTTGTCTGTGGGGTTCTGCATGTCTGTGGGTCTCTATGCGTGGTTGTGGGTGTATTTGCGTGTCTGCCGCTGTATGAGCGTGTCTGTGGGTCTCTCTTGGTGTGTTGGAATCTGTGCTTGTCTACGGCTCTCTGTGCGTGTCTGTGGGTCTCTGCGTGTCTGTGGCTCTCTGTGCGTGTTTGTGGGTCTCTATGCGTGCCTGTGTGTCTCTGGGCGTATCAACCGCTGTCTGAGCGTGTCTGTGAGTCTCTGTTCGTGTGTGTTGGTATCTGTGCTCATCTGTGGCTCTCTGAGCGTACCTGTGGGGCTCTGTGGGTCTCTGAGCGTGTCTACCGCTGTCTATGCGTGTGTGTGGGTCTCTCTTGGTGTGTTGGAATTTGTGCTTGTCTGCGGATCTTTGTGCGTGTCTGTGGGTCTCTTTGCGTGTCTGTGGTTCTCTGTGAGTGTCTGTAGCTCTCTGTGCGTGTTTGTGGGTCTATGTGCGTGTCTGTTGGTGTATGTGCCTGTCTACCACTGAGCGTTTCTGTGGGTCTCTGTGCATGTTTGTGGGTCTCTGTGCGTGTCTACAGCTCTCTGAATGTGTTTGTGGGTCTCTGTTCGTGTGTGTTGGTATCTGTGCGTATCTGCGGCTCTCTGAGCGTATCTGTTGGGCTCTGTGCATGTTTGCGGGTTCATGTGCGTGTCTGTTAGTCTCGGGGTATATCTGTGAGTCAAATACATTTGAAAAAAGTAAGCAGCCGGGTTCTTATTTTCACTCCTACCATGACATTG